ACCATCCACCTACCTACCTTCCACCCATCTATCTATCATCGAACTAGCCCCGTCGGGGTTTCTAAGCATTCCCACCCCTTGCCCAAGTCCCTCCCCCTCTGTTTTGGAACATGGCCCTCCCTCCCTCCTGTGCTTACCTATCCAGGACTCGACCACGTCTGCTTTCCAGTTGAACTGGAGGAAGGCGGAGTTCTCATCCAATTTGGCCTTCCTCTGAGAGGCCGCCCTCTCCAGATCGGACACTTTGCCTTTCAGGCTCTTCATCTTGGCGGTGATGTTCTCCTCGTGGTGGTTGTTCTGGAGGGAAAGGGAGAGAAACGTGGCCCTTGACTTGTGGGCCAAGGGGTGGCTTTCCAGACCTTGTGCAAATCCTTTACTCAGAAAGACAAGTGATACCCAGTAAAGGGTGTATAGAAAAGGATAGGCGACAAAAAAAATAAATCCGACATGGGTAAAAGGACAGGAAGTGGGATGCATTGATTTCTTGGTGCTTTCTGAGTTTGGAGATGTGTCAGTACCCAACTAGGTAACATCATCACTGCTAGAAGTGGGGAGGAGGAGGACTGAGGGGTGCTTGGTGTTCTCTGAGCTTGGTTATTTTATTGGAGACATTTTATTACCCAACCAGGTAACACCATCAGTGCTAGAAGGGAATGGAGCTTGTGGAGAGGAGGAGGAGGAGGAGGAGGAGGAGGAGGAGGATCCATGGTGCTCTCTGAGCTTGGTTATTTTCTTGGAGATGTTTCATTATCCAACCAGGTAACATCAACTGCACTAGAAGGGAATGGAGTTTGTGGAGTGGAGAAGGAGGAGGACTGTGGGGTGCTTAGTGTTCTCTGAGCTTGGTGGTTTTCTTGGGAGACCATTTTGTTTCCCAATGAGGTGGCATCTTTAAGTGGGAAGCGTCCAGCCACCAAGGTGCTTTTTCACGAGACAACTTGGACTTCCTGTTTTTCTTTCGTAAGACGTTTCGCTTCTCATCCAAGAAGCTTCTGACGAGAGACATCTTCAAAGAAAAAAACCAAGACAGTCCCGCTGGGAACAAAGCCCCTTTGGGACAACCCTGATCCGGACGACGGAGGCTCTCCAGAGAGTTCCAGCCACAGGGGGGTCACCTCTGGTCTTAGCAGAAGCCACTTCCACAGCCTTGGCCCTTATCCTGGAGCGCCAAGAACCAGGGATGGTGAGCCCATCAAGGTCCTGTTGAGTTCCTCTCACCTTCTTGATCAGGTCCTCGCCGTTTGCACAGACGTCATTCACTCGGTCCTTGTGCACGGTGAAATCGGACTCAAAGGCTTCGTGTTTCTTCAGCAGGCCCTGCAAAGGTGGAAGGAAGGAAGGAAGGATGGAAGAAGGAAGCTACCAAGATTGGACCAACCAGGGTTGACTCACGGTAGACAAGGCCACCCCACAAGCAAGCTGGGCATCGTAGCCTCTTCATAGCACGCAGAGAAAAGCAACTACCAACCACTTCAGACAAATTTTATTTTATTTTATTTTGTTTTGTTTTATTTATTATTTTATTTTCATTCATCCATTTTCATTTATTCATTCATTCTTTTTCTTTCATGTTCATTCATTCCTTCATTCTTTTTCATCTTTTTCTTTCATGTTCCTTCCTTCATTCTTTTTTTCATTTTCATTCTTAATCTTTCACATTCATTCATGTTCATTTTCTTTCATGTTCATTCATTCATTTTTCATTTTCATTCATTCATTCATTCTTTTTCTTTCATTTTCATTCATCCCTTTTCATTTTCATTCATTCTTTCATCTTTTTCTTTCATGTTCATTCATTCATTCTTGTTCATTTTTTTCTTTCGTTTTCATTCTTTTTCTTTCATGTTCATTCATTTTCTTTCATGTTCATTCATTCATTCTTTTTCATTTTCTTTCATTTTCCTTCCTTCATTCTTTTTTTCATTTTCATGAATTCTTTTTCATTTTTCTCATTCTTTCTCATTCGTTCATTCTTTTTCATTTTCTTTTGTTTTCTTATTCATTCATTCATTCATTCATTCATTCATTCATTCTTTTTCATTTTCTTTCGTTTTCTTTCTCATTCATTCATTCATTCATTCATTCATTCATTCATTCTCCTCTCCTAAAAATAAAACTCTAAGTTCTGTCATCAAGACTCCATCTGAAGAGGCATCCCCGCGGCTGAAATCAACAATCCCACCACTGCACTAACACTCACCTGGGCTTGCCCGGACAACCCCTTTCTTGCTCACCTGTATCGCTGCAAGGGTGTCTCCATAGTCCTCACTGGCCACCAGAGTCATCTTCTCATTAATCCAGGCCTCCTCTTCTTCCACGTTGGCCACAAACTGCTGATATTCGAGAGACTCCTCGAGACGCTGACCGCTGGAAGAGGAGGCGGCAGGGAAAATGAATACGCATTAATTTATATACATTGATTAGGCATCTTCAGCCTGTCTATCAAAGGGAAGGCGGGCTCTTTTTCGTCCAGGGGTGTTTTCGAAGGCTGTGAGGCTCACGGGTCCTTCCTTTGCTGCTTCTTTGTTTTTGTCATTTAATGACCCCCCCCTTAGTCCCTGGCGGGGTGGAGTCTTGGCAACTGAATGGAGCGGAGTGTTTACTGGCCGGATGCCTTTCCTGTCGCCGATGCAGAGTTATATTTTCAGCAGATATCATCTCAAGGGGCCCAGAGAAATACCAGCCTCTACCTAGGATTGAACTCCTCACAGCCTCCGCCTCTAGGCCACCTTTGCTACTTTCTTGCCTTTACAAATTCTGCCATGGGGCCATTTGGGTCTTACTTCAAGGAGGCCGCCAACATCTGGGCCCTTACCGTGCAGCTGCCAGCCGCTTCAGCTCTTGCCAGTGTTCCACAAACTGAGCCAATCGCTGCTGGATTTCCTCTTTTCCGATTGTGTTGTCATCGGACAATTTCTTGCCTGTGTCCAGCACGCCCTGTGCAAGAAACACAATCAAACGTTTTGGGGCAGTGCTGAACAGAGTAAATCACACACGGGCACCCCTTTCTGCTGATTGGTGGCTTCCAGGTTTAACTTTCCTTCATTTGAACACGGGGCGTGTTGCTTTTTTTAAAGAAGCCGCACCTTCCTAAGCAGCTACGCTGGCACGCTCAAGATGGAAAGGAATTTAAAGATATTTAAAAGCAAAATAAAAGAAGGTGGACCAGGATTCATTGGAATGAGAACCAAAGCCTCATGCTGGGGAATGTCTGGGCAGCGCTTGTGAAAGGCAAGAGCTCAATGGGACGTCTTCATCAAGCACAAACTTTGGTCCAATTGTTTCATTTGTGTCCTCCAAGATAAAATTCCCCCCTGTGGATCTCTAAACTTTCCAGTTTTACAAAGTGGAACAGATTATCAAGCCAGGGCTAGGCTCTAGGCTGGCTTCCTTCCTTCCTTCCTTCCTTCCTTCCTTCCCTCTCCCTCCCTCCTCCTCCTCCTC